TCTGCTTGGTGCCTGAGAACTTATGGTTACATCCTTCGCTCAGGAGAAGAGAACCAGGAGTTAGCCAGGGCGCGCCTGACTCCAATTCCTGAGGTTCCCGCTGCACAGCCGACTTGCAATATGAAAAAGTCCTCCAGCCTTTGACAGGCAGAGACTCCCCAGGGCTCTCCACCTCCTGTGCACACAGATGTCCTGAGAGCTGGGAGGCACACTCTGATTCAGGGGTCCTGGGAGGGCCTAGGGTCTGCACTTCCCTCCTCCCCCAGGTATGGCCACCCCTGAGACTCAGGTCACATTTGGAGGACCTGGGTGCTGTCCCCTTTGTCCTGAGGGCAGACACCTTTAGGGAAAAGCCAAGAAAGCCTCACAGACCAGGGAAAGGAGGTGTGAGAAGGTGGCACAGGCTGCTCTGCCACCACAGCCCTTCCCAGCCCTGTGCTGTCCCAAATATCGTTGGCCTGTGCTGTCCCCACCTCTCATTTCGTCCTCTCCACACCTCAAGTCCCAAGGCACCAGGCCCAGGATGGGGTTAAGTGGAAGCAAACCAGAGCAAGTCCCCTGTGTAAAGGATTAAGGGTGTGGCCAGGCTGGGGGGGGGAATGAGGGACAGGGGCTCCCTCTGAGGCTCCCCAGAGTGAAACCCAGGAGACCTGCTGGAGCTGAGCCTGCCCAGGGAGAGGTTCCTGGGAGTGGGCAGAGCTCCTGGACCCCTGGGACCGTCGTCTTGTTGGAAGAAGCTCACTGGTGCTCTGAGTGGACCCCATGTCCCCTTGTCCCCAAGCAGATTGGAAGGTGCCAAACTTCCAGCCACTGGAAAATGTCCCAGAGAGAACAAAGTGTTGCCAATTTTTGACCCAAAGGCTGGGTCCTCTTTTCGTCTCTGAATTGTAGAAGCAGCAACAGCGCAACAGAGGGCCACTGCGCCTTTAGGAAGAGCTCTGAGGCTTCTGTTGAAAGGGCACACGGTTTGCTTTTCCTCTTCTCCCTCTCCCCCTCCCTATCTTTGCAGCAGGGAACAGGATGACCTTGAGTTATCTGTGTCTCACAAAAGGAAGAAGTCTGCCAGCAGATCTAGGAAGTGAATAGCTCCCAAATTAAGAAGTGAATCCCCACACAGCCACGGGGTGCCCAGGGACCCCAGTCAGGGCTCTCCTGGAATCAGCCTTTGAGTAGCTCCTTTAAAACCTCCCTGTTGCACCTCCTGATGAGCAGAATCCCAGCCTCTGGGACAGGAGTTCCTTGTGTTTCGCCTTTGCTAGCAAAGCAAGAAAACTTCCCCCCCCCCCTTTTCTGCTCTCTGGATGTCACACTCTCAGGTCTCATTGAGGTGAATGTGTCTGGGGGGATCTAATTGGAGGCCGCCTTCTCTCTGCTCTGGAGAGGACAGAAGAGCTTATGCCCACCCACACACGGGCCGCCACCCCTGGTGATGTTCACCTCCTGATGACATGTGGCTGTGTCCTGCTGTGGTCCTCAGTCATCTCTCTGTGATCCTTGTCCCTCCACAGAGGCAACTCTGTGGAATGGGCACTTCCTGACCCTGATCTTCCAGCCAGAGGGCGCCTGAGCCTGCCAAGGGGGAGGGGTCTTCCGTGCTTTGGGGACAAGTTATCCAGCTTGACCCGCCTTTGCTCCTTGACCTTTGCAGAGACCCCTGGGAGACCCCTGTCCTTACAACCAACTCAGAGCGCTGATTCCACGAGGTGGTGGGCAGAGTCCAGCAGGCCGTGGAGGAGCACCAGCGGTCCCTGAGCCCTTTCCCCAGCAGCGGGGCACCCTGCACAACCTGTGGCGGCCGTGGCTGCAGCCCTGCTGTGGCCCCTTCCCCCTGTGCTGGTGAGACACAGAGGACCAAGGGCAGTGGCCTTCTGTGTGGGTGTTATGCCAGATTCCTGGGACCCCAATAGACCTCCAGGAGCCGAATCCGATGCAATCACAAAAGAGTCTTTATTGCAAGCTCGAGCCTGGACTCACAACTGTTTCCAAGGCTGCGGTCCCAGGGAGTGAGTCCCAGTCCTTTGTTCAGTGAGATTTGATAGGTTTTGGGGAGATACTCTATGCGTCACAACATCACACAGCAAATCATTCCATACCACGGAAAAATCAAACAACAACTCTTAACATTGATTAGCACATTCACTGGTGGGAACAAGTTGGGTAGGGGGGATTGGTTAGTGCAAGAGGGGGATGCGTTTGAACAGATTGGTTTAGGCCCTGAGGGGTGTACGTGCTAAACTTCATGGTTTCCCAACTTGTTATCAACCACCATAAACTACTTGGGGGTCATCTGGCATCCCAGGTATTTCCCTGTCTCATTGGAGGTTGCTAGGGGGTTGCTATGGGTCCCCACCTAGCCTAACTGAGTCAGGGACCCCTGGCGCCTCAGACCTCTCCTGTTATTTACAGACAAACAACTCAGCAGAGTGGTATATGCTTAGGAGTGCTCTGTGGGTTTTTCCAAGGATGCCCCCTTCCTAGGACAGGCTTTGCTCTGAGGTAGAGATTGGTTTCTCAAAAATGAAGTCACATTAGTTTCTCATGGGAAGAGCTAGAGCCCAGTCCAAACAGCTCCAGCTCCTCACTCTGACCTCAGGCATCCATTCCATGGTCACAATTTCCCACATCAACACATGAAGTCACAATGCACAATCCAACTGAATGAAATGCACCCTCAGGGGCCACTCTGGGCACCCAGCAAAGAGCCCAGGACCTCCTGCAATTAGAAGCTGAGACAGAAGACCCAATCTAGCCCAGAGTTGCTTCCAAATTGCTCAGATTTGCAGGTGCAGAGGGGGGAAGCCTGATGGGACAAACCTGACTCAATAAGACATGTCATGTGCCAAGGGATCAAGTCTCAGCTTATAGCTTTCACTAGCAATGAAGGCCCCACCCTCAGGACCCCCTCTCCTCCCCAAAGCCCATACTTCCTAACACCATCACCTTGGGGGGTAAAGATTTGTATAAAAGACTTTTGGAGACATCCACACTCAGGTCATTGCACTGGTCAGAGGGCTGATGGTCACTGTATTAGTCTCCCTGGGCTTTTGTTACAAAACATCCCAGCCCGGGGGGCTTACAGACCACAGACCCTGAGTACTCATTGATGACCTCAGGCCACCACCTGAAGCCAACTCCACCTCTGCCTGATGGCCAAAGCCATCTCCAGCCCAGTGGATCTTGGGATAAGGAAAGAGATGGCAGCTGGTCAACCCTAGGAGCCCTACTTCCTCCCTATCTCCCATGCTGTGTAGAACAGAAACCCAGCACATTGAAACAGCTGTGTCCCTTGTCCTCTGAGATCTTCAGCATCCTCTAGGCTGGGTCATCCCCTCCAGGTCCAACCACATCCTTGACTCTGTTGTCTTTGTAGCCCAGGTTCCCACAGAGACTCCAAGTTCTTAACCCATAAGTGTCAAGCATTCAATTCTGCAAATGTATCAACAAAATTACATTTTATTATTATTATTATTATTATTATTATTATTATTATTATTATTATTCTACCACCAGGGATTGAACCTGGGGTGCTTTAGCACTGAGCTGCATACCCAGCCTTTTTTTTTACATTTTATTTTGAGACAGACTCTAAGTTGTTTAGGGCCTTGCTAAATTGCTGAGGGTGGTGCCCAAGTTGCAATCCTCAGCCTCCCGAGTCACTAGAATTATCAGTGTGCACCACTACACCTGACTTCAACATGATTTTTGACATTGTGCATTAAATAGGCTGGAAATCATAAAGTAGATCTTATGTTTTATTACATTATGATTTTATTATATATAAACTTATTATACAACAATAATCTCTGTTATGTGCTGTATTGAACTTTCTCACCTTCTCCTATCTGAGAAACCTCCTTAAAATACCTCTCCAGCTCCCTCTGGCCCTAGAGCACTGTAACCCAAGATTATGCTCAGTACATTTGATATCTGTCTAACAGCACCCAACATACTTACTTTCTGTGGTTCTTAGAGATCTCTGCTCTCAGAACCCAAGGTCTCCTCAATGAACATAGTCTTTTCTGCCCTGGTGGTGCACACCTGTAATCCCAGCTGCTTGGGAGGGTGAGGAAGGAGGGTTGCAATTTGGAGGCCAGTCTCAGCAACTTAGTGAGGCCCTGAGCAACTCAGCAAGATCTTTGTCTCTCTGTGAAATATAAAAAGGGCTGGGGATGGGCTCAGTGGTTAAGTACACTAGGTTTAATCTCCAGTACCAAAAACAAAAATAAAAATTAAGAGGAAACAATCCGTACAACCTTCTGGGCTGCTAATCTAGGATGTTCACAGGTGAGATTTGGCAAATGCATTCCTAATGTACTGTATTTGGGGTTTCTGGGTGTAACCCAATCTGTAAGTCTGGGTGCACATGGAAATGCAAATAATTCAAATTTGCAAATTAAAAACAAAGACCTTGGGCTGGGGTTGTGGCTCAGTGGTAGAGCACTCTCCTCAGCACCACATAAACATAAAATAAAGATACTGTGTCCGACTACAACTAAAACAAATAAATTAAAAAAAAAAAAAAAAAGACCTTTTCTCCACCTCCAGCACCCTCTGGGGATTTCATTTCTGAATTGAGGGGGGGGGGGGGGGTGAGCCTCCTGCCTCATTTTCAACAAACATCCCACGCACCCCAAGGATTTGGGGCAGCCCAGATCTTTCAGAGGCTCTGATTTGGTCTGGTAAAAATACAGAACCGATTTGGAAAAGTGAAAAAAGATCCTCTGTCGGAGCGGAAGAAGCAGGGTCCGGCCAAGAGCACCATCAAGGAGGTACCCAGTAAGAAGACCCCTTGGTCAAGGTCCTGAGTGCAACCATGGAGCAGGGAGTCCGCACCCTACAGATCCCAAACGCCAAACCTGGTGGAGCTGAACTCGCACGGATCCTGTGAGGGGGGTGGGGCTGTCCCAAGACCCTTGCTGAGAATAAGAAATGGGGTCCCCGCGCCGCCCTGGCTGCCTGGGGGCTCACCGCGCTCAGGCCCCAACCGGATTAAACAGATCCAGAAGCCCCAGCTTCCCCGGGCGGCGGGGACCCAGGAGAACCAATTTCCCGTCCCCACCTCCCAGGCCCAGAGTTCGGAAATTAATCGGATTAAGACCCAGGGCCCAGGCGCGCGCCCAGGAGCCCGGGGGTGGGGTGGGGGCGGAGACGCCAGCGCGGCCGCGTCTGCGTCACGGTCCGCGTCACGGTCCTGCCCCGGCGCAGGCGCGCAGGCTCGGGATCCACCACGCAGAAAGGCGCTGCCGGCCCCTAGGGACGTGCCTCCGCCACCGCCAGGTGCGGGACTCGTGGTGTGGAGCCACTCAGGTCGGGGAGGGGACGAGACCCTGGGCAGGAGGAGGCGGTGCCGGGAGACGGCGAGTCGCCGAAACCCAGCCCCCGGCTCAGAGAGCAGCGCTGGGGTGGGGCGCAGAGGGAGGTGGGGGGCCGAGCAGGAGGAGGGGCCGCAGGCCGAGCAGGAGGGGGGCCCGGGTCGAGCCGCGGAAACTGCGCCCGTGACGCCTGCAGGGGCCGCTCCCGGATCGAGTGGGGTGACACGCCCCACCCCAGGGCCTCGGAGACTCGCCTCCCCACGCTGAGACCCTCGGGGCTCCGACCCACTCCAAGACCCGCTCCCTGCCCCCTCACGGCCTGTGTCCCCCCACACCAGGTCGACACAAATGCGCTGGAGTGTCCCCCCCACTAAGACCTGCTTTGCCCCTCCCATTCTGAGCCGGGACCCTTCCCCATGGCCAAGTCCCACAATCTCTATAAGGAAAGCCACCCTAACACGGCCGTGACCCCCCACACGCACATTTTTTAACACATGCAGCCCAATGCCCCTGTCTGCCCTATGAAATTGAACCCCTCAGTGTCTCCCCAACCATGGGCTTGAGTCCCCTCCCTAAACTATGGCCTGTCACACGCAGTAATGTCACACACAACCCTGCCCCTCCCCCAACATGGCCCTAACCCCCCCTCTGAGACTCCTGTCTTGTCCCCTCTGCAGACAGCCTTCATGCCCACTCACTCCCTGAAAACCACCCTGTCCCCACCAGGGCCCTGCTTAAGCGCCCCAGGCATGCCCTGTGCCCCCTCTCTGATGCTGCTGGTGAGTCCCCAGGAACAGTCTAAGCCACTGCTGTCTGACTGCAGGGCCCTCTCCCCCCCACACTCTCTGTTCCTCCAACATTAGGGCCTCGGCACCGCCCCTTAGCTGCCTAAGTCAAGCCATAGTCCATTGCTGGGCCCATCTATCTAACCGGTGCCAGCCCCGTGGTGCCCAATACTGTTACCTTCCTGTGGGTAATTTAGGTTTACCTTGCTCTTCTTTCTCTGTTTTTTTGAAGCAGCAGTTTCAATGATTGCTTTTAGCTCCTTTTCAGAAATGTGCATTGGATGACTTAGATACCAATACTGCACCACTTCTAGTGTTCTCTATGAATTTCCCATGATGCTTCCTAGGCAGGATGCAGATGGGCTTGTGGCTTTTCTTGAAAATGTTGGTGCATCTGAAACCTTGACATGGAAAGAATACACTGGAGGGGGACTTCCTCCTGAGAGACAAAATGAGGTCAGTCTGTGCAGTAGAGGGACATGTGTCAATGAGGCAAGTGAGTGTGAGCTCACAGTCATGAGACCCACAGGTGTCTGAAGCCTAAGTCCTACAGATAATACTGAATCGTACATACACTTTTCCCTTTATTTACATGCCTATGATTATCCTTCTATAAAACCTCAAAGTGCTTGTCAGCACCTGAAGACAGCATAAGGGCAGGGTTTCCTTGTCTTCCTGGTGTAGTTGCACTGGTCAAAGTTTCTTTCCTGTTTTGCATCATGACCTTTTCTGTTTGATATTGGGGTATACACCTGACCAGACCTGGATCCTCAGAGTCAGGTCTCTACATAAGACTTCCTAACAGTCAAAGTAGAACATCTACACTAAGCACAAGGCACCCATTTTATTTCCACCGCACATTGCTGCCCTACAGGATTGCCTTCCTTCCTCCCTGAGGACCCTCTCTGCTGGGGATGGAACCCTGAGCATCAGAGCCAACCCCAATTGCTTCCTTTCATAGCTCAGGCTGCCTCCTCAAAGCAACAGAGGCCAGGAGGTGATGAGAATTACTAAAATAGTTTTCAAATTATTCTCATTTTTAGATATTGTGTATGGGTCATACATATGATATCTTTAAATAGTGTTTCAAAAATTTGGAGACTGTGTCTTTCTAAGTTGCTTGAGATCGCATCAGCTGAAATATATATATATTTCACAACCTATATATATATATATATATATATATATATATATATA